AGAGCTGCGCTTTGACGCCGAGTCCTCCATACCAGCTGCCAAATTCAGTGGCAAAATTGTCGGTGCCGAAAATGCTCATTATTATACGTTGGGTTAGTCTCCTACGCTGGTAGATTCGGCTAACGCGATTCCTCACGCAATTGTTTACTCGTTTACAAAAGGTATTAAAATTGAGTATAGGGCATTGGAATCCACTAATACACTGTAAGTGGATTATTTTTAGCTGCAGGTGCGTACGATGACACCGAGGATACTGTGAAGCTTGTGCATAGATATTCTACGAACGCGCTTGATGCTACCCATCAAAACCACACACCCAGTCTGACATGGATTTTCAAACTACGAACCATGTGTTCTAACTTCTAGACCTAGGTGTCTTTTGGGATTCCCCTGGGGTGTCGCGTATTTACCCACCAGATTTCCTTGCAACATAATTATTACCTTGTTTTCCGTCACGCTTTTCTACTTGTGGCACATAATTAGTGGAGTACTTTGTGCTGTCACTGGGCGTTCATATTCCAGTCGTAAAATAGCCATTTGAATGGTTTTATTTAACACGAAGTTGGCGTCACTTCGATCTGGTAAAGTGGGTAAATTGAATTGTGGAAGGTGCATTAAAGTAGGACATATGGATGAGTCTACTTATATTAAATGAGTAGCACAGGGACACTTTGTAACAGACTTTCTGTAGGTGAATTTCTTCATTGCACTGCCTGGATATCAATAAAAGTCATAATTTTATATGATATGGTGTCATTATTATAGCACATAGTTGAATGGATCCCCCGATAAAGAATAGTTCACAAAGACAGGGGCGAATTTGTCATCATCAAGTACAAGCTGAAAGAAACCTGCGTTTTAGTGAAAATTTGCAGATTGAAATAGAGATAAAACATTTGTTAGTAATCCTTTTGGATAAATAAGTAAACAAATAGGATCAAGTTTTGAATGCAATAAGAAGCTTGAAAAGTGCACGCCTCTGATCTCCTTGCAGTCCTGTAGAATTCTAGACGCTTCTAGAGCATTTTCACATCTTTCCAGAGACATCCACCGAAGCACCCATACCTGAAGCTATGCATCACCGACGGTCTTGCTCTTTGGGCACCTAAGCAGTATTTAGTTTAGTTCAAAAGGCTCCTTCTAGAACATTTTCTGGATTGATCACGGCATTAACTCGAGGTAGCATCTACTAAGTCCCCAACACACAACTCTAGGCATGAATACTTTCAATTTTGACTATGCACTTACGGCCCATTGATGGGAATGGTGACTGCTTGCTTACGCAAGTGACTCTTGGGAAGTGCGATGGATGGACAAATGAAGTTCTATTGAGAGCTTTATCTGAGATTATAGTTGTTACGATGCTTCCCCCTATACTACAGTTAACTATGGCATGCTTTTCGATCAGGTGGGTTGGCTGACTTAGATAGAACCCTTTAACCATTCGAAGCGCCGTAGCGATTGGATAAGTATTTCAACACCCGATTAATAATGCGTATTCCCTAGCCGCTGCGGGTTTCACTTCCCTTTGCCGGCCTTCCAGCCCCTCTACACTCCACTGCTACACTGTCCACCTACATTGGTGTGTAGTTTTAGATTTATGGTGATTTTTCCTCGGCATCTAAACCACAAAGAAAACCGCACTTTAATGCTTCAAGCTAAGCCGTGACTTCTGGATTATAAAGATACAACGACGATTTTCAGGAACTGAGAATTGAACTGTTACATCGTTCACCAGATATTTAAAAGGTTTCGGCATTTAAAGCCCTGTCAGCACCAACGAGCCATCCTAAGGCGATCGGTTGTGAGGCACAAAGGCAAAAGACGACCGAATCAAGATTGCAAATATTTGTGAGGGATTGCGTAGTATTTTGGTCACATATAAGTGACACCGGTAACAACTGTGGAGTTACATTGGAAAAACACATAGGAAGTACCACATTGTACAATTTACGCGTTACTAAAAAATGACCACACCTCCCACCTAGGCCAAGTGGCTTCCCTAATTATGGGAAAGAGCACTAGTGCCTGAATACAAACGAGGATGCCGGACAGATGAAATCATTGATGCGGAAAACACGGAAGATGGATCGGTAAGTGTGAAAAATGCCGACTAATGTCAAACGTGGAATAAAATTTGTTTCAGAATAAAGGAAAAGAGAGCCTTAGAGGTTAATCGATTCCCTTGAAGAGAGGTGCCCCCAGCACCACATGACCATCGGACATCGCTTGCGTCTTACTAGCTTCGACCACCTCTGGAGTGACGAAGGCTTTGTAGAACTTATGATGCTCGCTTTGCAAAGCATTTTTTATCTTCTCCTTTCTCACCCTATTGTCCTTAGCTCAAGATTTCACATCCTTCGGTGCATATCCTTTTATCCATCCTCTGCCGTGACGATTTTGAGACCCTCTTCATCTAAACAAATATATGTTTAGGGACATATAAGTAGTGACGATCTACTCGTCGCTGCCAGCTCCCTCTCCAGTACGTCTGAGGATCGGATGTTCAGAAAGGCGAGACAGGTATACAGGCGTTTTTTATCTCAGAGGAGGGCTAGTAAGAACATAGTAACCCATGACTACACAATAACCCCAAAGTGTTTCGACGCCTTCTCTCCAAGTTTAAAATGCCATCCTAAAGACATTGACAGGACCTTCCTACCCACACGGTGACGTGATTCAGCAGCATCAACGTCATCTGTGAAAAGGTCTAGTCAAGGAGATTGCACGACTCCTCCGATCTCGTTAATCGGGTTTAAGAGTAGTTAATATCGTTTCTCTAACAGCACAATCAACAGCAACCACCGTAATGACGGTCACCAACACAATACCGCAATCGCGCGGCTGTCAGTCTATTCTTCCTCTGCATTGTAATCCTAGTGGTATCTTTCATTCAACAATTAGGCACATCTTTAGAATTGCTAGAAGCCAGGTGCTTGGATCTTAGTAGCATGGTTAATTAGGAAATAATGTGGACATTAGAATAACCATGACGGTTAGTTAGAATGACTTTCGACACTACTGATCATACATTAAGACATTTAAATTGCATTCTAGGTTTCCAATGCCCTCAGTTTGGGGTAATCAAGTTCAAAAGCTGTTTTTTGATAATAAGTTTCAGCACTAGCTAAACCTAGATACGCATTAAGCGATCAGCCCACCTGTCAGCTACTACGACTCATGCTACCCATTATTAATCCGCCTGATTATGCCTCAACGCTGCAGCTACTGCCTGTTCAGACATCTGACATCTAGCGGCGAAAATTGGCAGAAGTTTACGGCCGAGTGCGCTATTGTTTTTTTCGCTTTAGCAGTGCCCCACGTGTTGTCACCAGCCCCTGCTTCTCCCAAATATTCTGCAACTTTAGGATTCCTAGGAAAGCATATGCTTAAGAGAAACCTACAAATTGACGCCTCCAGCGGATCGACATGGCTCCCAATTCCACTTTCCTATTATCACCACGCATTCACAGACAGAGTTGGGAATGCACCTTTCTGTGCCATTTTTTGACATACAAAGGCAATCAGGATATTGTGTCAGTTCTTATTCCTCCGCTGAGAATACCAGTAACTGCATAAACACCCCTTTCTTTATTTTCATGTTTATTTTACAAAAGTGCTAGGACGTTGCACTCTGGTTTATATCACATACAGATGTAATCCTTCTCTCTCTAGTGGATTTACCTTGGTGCTTCACTGTATTGGTCGCTACGCACAGAGACCACAAGCAAAGGTTGCTTGAGACGCAACTTTACGGACAACTGGCCGAAGAACAGCCAAGTGCCAGATATTTGTCTCTAATATACCATCGAAAATCACCATTGACTGCGGTTCGCAGTTCAAGCCTAAATTATCATTAAATTAGCTATCCTTGCTTGGTTGTGAGTACAAAAAGATCACCACTTAGCATGAGACCAACAGCGTCCGCATTAAAAATCATCACATACAACAGAGTTGGGTGTCCTAGACAACAGTAGTGACATGGACTGGATTGCATCCTACCTTCTTAAACATTCTGCTGAGTTGCAGAAAGGTTAAATTATCTGCTGCTTCCGTTTTCGCTCCCATCAAGAGAAGTGTTGTCCTTGTCGCTGGTTCTGTTGCCTTCGCGTTTAGTGATTCTTATCTCACTTCGTCCCTTGTTTGTGTGCTTTGCTTTGGTGCGTTATTTGGTGATCTTGTTTATCCATGGGTCGCTTATCTTGTCAATCGTCCTGTGTGCTTTTTTATATCAGCAAATGATTAGGCTGCAATTGGGCTGGAATTGTTTATCATGACCCCACAGAGTGCCCTATTGTCTGTTACAAAATTATTTGCATCTGTCGAATGACACCTCAGGTCGCATTGTCGGAAAGGACGCTGCTCCGTATCTAGCTGATGCAAATGCAGTCTTTTTGCATCTAGGATCTGTGTAGTTACAAATCTCGCGAGCTGGATTTTGGGTATGGGATGTTGACTGGCGCTAAGAACGCAAATTAAGTAATGGTTCTCGACTCGGAGTCTGGCCTTGTGATCCGAGTTCTGAAGTAAAGTCGAGTGTTTCGGCAACCACACGTGCTTGTATTTGACTCAGTGG